TCCTGAGGGCTGGCCTTAGCAGTGAAGACTGAGGCAAAGGCGGCATTCAGGAACTCTGCCTTCTCTATATCCTTTGTTACCAGGGCACCCGCCCCATTCAGCAGCGGGCCCACGTTTTCCCTAGTCTTTCTTTTGCTATTGATGTATTTGAAGAAGGCCTTCTTGTTGTCCTTGACATCCCTTGCCAGATTTAATTCCAGCTGGGCCTTAGCCTTCCTTGTCGCATCCCTGCACACTCTGACAACGTCCCTGTATTCCTCCCAAGTGGCCTGTCCCCTTTTCCACATTCTGTACACTTCCTTCTTCTGCTGGAGTTTTGCCAGGAGTTCCTTGCTCATCCATGCAGGTCTCCTGCCCGCTTTGCTGGACTTCTTCCTCAGAGGGATGCACCGATCTTGAGCCTGGAGGAGGTGATGCTTGAATATTAACCAGCTTTCTTGGACCCCTCTTCCTTCTAGGGCCCTACCCCATAAGATTCCCCTAAGTAGGTCCCGAAACACCACTAGGATTCCTGTCCCCTTCACCCTTGCCCAAGAGCTTTACGGTCACTTTTGAGGTGAAATGGTTTCACCTCGCCATGTCATTGGTACCCACATGAATAGGCAGAAAGACGTAGAAGTCAGTCATTATGCTGGGTGAGCCGAAACAAGCTGTTTGCAACACCAGAAATTGAGACTCCAGGCAAGCAACATACCTCCCTGGATGATGGGTCTGGCTGGCAGACGAGTGTCTCTATCCCACACCCAAAGGGTCCAACCACTCACTATCACTCATCGCTTTCTCTTGATAGCACTCTGGCATGTTGTCCAGCCTGGATTCTTCCTCCAAGAGAGCTTGTTCTTCCTGGGCCTGAATGATTTAGCATCCTTCCTGCTGCCAGAAGTCACAAGCTTCCAGTTTCCACCCTCTTAGGAGTGCGTGTGTTCGTCCTGCTCTGTCTTGCCTCTGTTGCACCTTCCTTCTCAGCCTTGTGCAGCATAAGTTTTTACATCCAAGAACTGCCTTCGAAGAAACTGTCATTCTCCTGTTTGCCATCTCTAATTAGCAAAGCCTGCTCACCTCTTCTTCAGCTCCGCAGCTGGTGCTGCAGCAACTCCAACAGATTTCACCTCCTGCAGGGGTTGCATCTGCACAGAGGGTGCACCGTAGAGGACTGTCCCGGCAGGGACTGGGATCATGTCCTGTAGCAGGTCCTTACCATTGGAGGGTTGTCTTCTTATGCAACAGCACGTCCAGGCGCCTCGTATGCCAAATGCCAAGTTCCCCGTCTTGCTTATTTGCACATCCTGCTGGCAGCACTCTTGGTCTTTGGTGCCATTCCCGAGAGTGCCAGAAAAATAAGCCTAATGTGCGTTCACTCACCCTTTTGCAAGATTTCCCGCTTGGCAGGAAACCTCTCGCACTCTCTGTGCATTCCTGGCCACAGTGCACTCGCTTTGTGAATGTTAGGTCTCCTTCCCATGCTAGATCCCAAATGAGCTGGAAGATCCATGGAGATCGTTTACTCAGCACCAATCTCACTTGCCAAATGAAGAAGTGCTTTTGTATAGTTGAAAAGGTTAGTTTTAGAATTTGCATAAGTGGATACTGCTGTCCAGAAATGTTTTAGAATCAGTTTACTGCAGTTCTTGATCCATGAATAAGGAAAAATATGTAACTATTTATTAACAAAAGTTAAATTTACACATTCACTTCCAGGAGATAAAGTGGGTTTAAATTACTGGCTAATGATTTTAGAATTTGATTATATGTTATTTTGTAGTAAAATACTCAAATATTATCTCCTTTCCCTATCTTATAGTTTGACTTGCAATGCGCTGGCAAAACATATAGTAGGTTATTTCTTGTAGTCACTTGTAATCTTGTAATATGTAAGAGAAAAAGGTCTTCTTCAGAGATGTTACTTGCATAGCAATAACAATGCAAATATGCTTGTATAGGCTGCAGGCTTTGAATGAGGTTAATCTTTCAGCAGCTATTACGCTGGCAATATAAAATCAATCCCTTTGAGGTTTAAATAGTCAAAAGTATAAGATTGAGAAAGATAAGACAAGAGTATGATAAAACTATAAAACTACCAATATGGAGAAAAACAGCAGGCTAAAATTTACTTTGCCATGGTCTGCTTGAATTCAGTTGTATTCTTAAACAAACTCCGTAGTACTGTATGTGACTAAACTTTGCAGGAATTCTTCTAAAGGTGTGGTGCATTTTCTTTCTGGGTGCTGAAAGACTGGATGCATTTAAAAAAAAAAAACCACACACACACAAAAGAAGTTCAAAGAGAAGTAATTTCTATTGCATATGCAGGTCATGCAGCTAGATAATAATGCTTCTTTTAGGCCTTACACTCAATAATGTATTTGAAATTTCATATTTTAAAATGCACTTAATGCATAATTATTAAAAATAACTTGATGATTTAGAGTAGCTGTTTTACAGTATATGAGATGAAAACAGTTTTCACCTAAATATTACGTTAAAAATTCTGTGGAACTGCAGTTAGCTTATGAGAGAAGTGCAATTTTTTTATACAGATGGAACATGGTCTGTTACATAAATAAAATGCCAAGATATATGGTGATAATGCATCCTTGAGGTATGAGGCTAGGTCCCATTAAATATATGCCTTGAAACTAAAAAGGCCTTTTTTCTGGTGTTTCGAAGGAATTCCTTTGGAAAGTAGTCTGCCAGAAATGTGAATTTTTCTCATTTGGTGAGTTTTTTCCAGCCATTGCTATTTTACTGTTATATTTGAACATGCCAGAACAGGTGGGTATTCAGTGAAAGAAATACAAATTGTTAACCTTTCTGGGATCAATGTATAGGAACATAGACAGTTCTTTGATTGACTCTTTTTTTAAAAAAAAAAAAAGAGAGGTAGTAATAAAAACTGAAATAGTAACACTAAACCCTATTTATGTGAAATGACAGAAAAAGTAAAAAAAACAGTGGTAAATACAGATGGACAGTGGTTCTTTTTATTTCCAAAATTTGCTCAAGAACAATGGAATAGGAAAAATTAGAAGTGTGCCTGTTTCAAGGGTTAGTCTACCAATTTCACTTATATTATAAAAAGGATTTTTTTTTTAATATTAATAACCTCTTAATTGTAGGAGGAGGAATTGGAGGCCCAGATCTCATTTCTACAAGGACAACTAAATGACTTGGAAGCGATGTGCAAATATTGTGCAAAGATGATGAACACACATCTTGGTAAGTGCAGTACCCTGTATTAACCTGCAAATCTTTGCAAAGGCTCTTTCCATGTTTGTACTAGAGCTAAATGTTTATATAGTGCAGTGCAGAGTGTAGTGCGTATTATTTATAAGTCACAAATAAATTTGATTGTTTATGGTAACAGGTACTGCTCACCACTGTATCTTTATGCTGTCATACCTTTAAATTTGGGAGTTTGTTAGCCACTGATAATACTAAAAAAAAAGGAGAGGCATTTTAGGATGGCTGGCCGTTGTCTGTTCCTAAGATTTCCTACATTGTAAGAGACGTGCTAGAACTCATAGCTCATTTTATAAGTCCATTTGCAGTTCAGAAGTCCCAGAATGATCCTTGATGCATTCGGTGATAGTTGTATAAAACTCATATACTTCTAGTAAGTGTAACATCTATACAACCTACGCTGATTACCTTCATTGCATAAAAATATGTTTCTGTAGGCTGACTGCTTTGTAATATTTTGGTCAGAGTAGGAGAAGTATATTAAGACAGGAGCCAGTAGATTGGAAATGGGATCAGCAAAGAGTCCAATCTATAATTTGATTTATATATTGCCAAGACAAATTAGAGAAATACTTTGCTACGCTTTGTTAAATGCAGCATTTTTAACTGTGCTGAACCAAATTCCAGATGTTACTGTATTTAGTTATGTATCATTGTGTGCAAAGCACTGCTGTTGAGAAATCAGGGCACACATGAAATAATGTAAGGTTTGTTTGTAGCGTGCGAGATCATAACCTAAGCAAAATAATTTCAAGGTGAGTATTTCAGTGGGTAGAACTAAGTATATGACACCTACCTCTGCCAGGTCAAAAGATCAAATGTGAAAGTCGTATTATCCTGGAATTTTTATTTTCCTTTATGTGAGTGTCCATATAATTTTAGTAGCCACTGTTATGAGCCTAGCAAAAGCTGTAAATAATGTATTATTAGAAAGTTTCGACTCACAGCCTTCAAAAGCCAACTGTAAATGTCTAACTCCGACAGCTTTATTCTGGAGTATTATACTGCTTCTCTGAGGGTATAGGAGAACTAAAGAGTCTAGAATCAAGCACAAGAGATAAATTATTAGCTACTGAAATGATGGAGGGAAAACTACCATGTCTGGAAGAGAAACTGTAGTTTCTTTCCTTTAGGAAAAAAGGCTTGAAGGGTTTAGTAGAAATATCAGTTCAAGTACAAACATAAATGTTTCCCCAGCAGACTAGATATCAAAAGAACACCAGACAAAGATACTTGAAGAAGT